TGTTTCACAGCTGTACAGTTCATGTTGGAACTGATCCAGATGTTTCACAGCTGTACAGTTCATGTTGGAACTGATCCAGATGTTTCACAGCTGTACAGTTCATGTTGGAACTGATCCAGATGTTTCACAGCTGTTTGAAGCCTCCTGTACTGGTTGTGTTATTGTTAGTTTACCTGTGTGTTTGTGTGTGTTTGCTCCAGTGATCAGATATTGCTGACATGTGACCTCTGTGTTAAACATTTCTGCCCCCCCTCCAGGCTGAGGAGCAGTTGCGTATCGTGGAGGAGCAGAGAAAGATCCACGAGGAGCGCATGAAGCTGGAGCAGGACCGTCAGAGGCAGCAGAAGGAGGAGCAGAAAATCATCCTGGGCAGGGGCAAGTCCAGACCCAAGCTGTCCTTCTCCCTGAAGGCCACAGAATGACTCCCCCCTCCTCCCCTCCTTCTGAAGGTGTCGCCCCTCCTCCCCCCTCCTCGTCGCCCACTGCAGAGCGCTCGCTTCGTTTTGGAAGTGCTAGAGGAGGCGGGGCCTGGAGCTCAGCGTGTGAACTGGGGAAGCTCCGCCCCCTCAGACTGCACAGACATGTTTGTTTTGTTTTCTCTTTTAGGGACTTTTCATGTAGTTGATGTTCCTGACCTGTAAGTCTTAACAGTGGTCAACATGAACCTTTCTGTATCAGACTGGAGGTCCTGCTCCCTGTGCACAGCCTCAGACCGCTCAGGAGTCCCGCCCCCTTTGGATCCGTCTCACAGGRCCTGTCCTCTGCAGGAACCGGGTCTGGACTCCTGAGCTGCCTGTGGTTCAGGACGGAGGACAGGTCCGGCTCATGTGTACTGTCCTCTGTCCAAACTGTCCTGTTATCACAGTGATCCCTGATTAACAGAAGTCTGAATGATGGACAGGTGCAGTTAGTTTGGACTTCCTGCCTGTTCTGTCCCTCATTAAATTAACACGCCGCTCAGAGGAGACGTCCAGGTAAGACCAGGTGGAGGTCAGAGTGTGTGTGTGTGTGTGTGTGAGAGAGAGTGTGTGAGTGTGTGTGTGTGTGTGTGTGTGTGTGTGTGTGGCTGGCATCAGGTGGGTATATTAACTTTATTTTGTGGAATCTTAAATTTGTCATGTGAACTTTGACCCCGCCCCCTGTTTGTGAAGGGACTGACCGGATCAATAAACTCGGTAAATGATCGTCTGATGCTTTGTGTTTGTTTAAAGCTCAACCTGCTGCTGCTGGTGGACCCTGACTTTATTATAATCAGCTTATTAAAGGATCAGATCTACATTTATTCTTTTATAATTAAATAAACTTTCTTGTCTTAAAACATGAACATAGCTGAAATAATGACATGTTWGTGGTCATGTGAAGTGTTCTGGTTCAGTTGCTCAGGTCCAATCAGACAGGAAGTCATTTCTAAATAAGTCACTTCTTTAGTTCAAACTGTAAAAAGTTTTCTGGGTTAAAGAGTTAAAACTTTCAGCACATTAACAAGTAAAGAAGTCGTGTGTTCGGTTCTGGAGCCTCCAGGACTCACTGTGGTTCTGCTGACCCATCAGAGCTGCTCCTCCTCAGCCTCGGAGCTCCACAGAGTCCTGCTGCTTCCAGCTCCAAGAAACCAGCTGAGTTAATAACTTCATCTGAACACAAAGGATTAATTTATTCTTTATTCAGAGTGTCGTACAAATTTATTCTTTGTTCAGAGTGTCGTACAAATTTATTCTTTATTCAGTGTCGTACAAATTTATTCTTTGTTCAGAGTGTCGTACAAATTTATTCTTTTATTCAGAGTGTCGTACAAATTTATTCTTTATTCAGAGTGTCGTACAAATTTATTC